GCCGTATTTTGAGCCTCATTAAAAACAGGGACGAGATCAGCCAAAACCGGAGTCGGAAGGATTGCAGGCAGATCAAGTTGGACAGGATCCAAGGACAACAAATCCGGTGCCACCTCAGCCGACGATTGCGGTGGTAAAGGCGACGATGCTGGAGTCGTCGGGGGTGTCAGGATCCGCCACAGCTCCTCTGCCCTCCTCAGGTATGGCAGCAACCAGGGCTGAGAACAGAAGAACAAAGGAAACACCCAAGGGAGACATGCAGCCATGCAACAACACGCAAACAAGCTAAGTCTTACTTGGTTTGAAAGAGGTCATTCGCGGAATGCGCGACCTAATAGTTGCGAATCCATCATTTATTTCATTGACTGAGGTTGCATGCAAAACAACTGGTTTAGGAGTTAAGTCTTTCATTTCAATTTCTTCAATTTTTGACTTTGGTTTAACATCATTTTTACGCGGCTTTGGACAATACTGTTAGTACGAGATAGTTGCAAGAAAAGAACCATGCAAAAGAAACGGTTACATCTAACAAACAGGGTGCAAAAGGGGAAGAAAAGTACCTTTTTCCTTAAGCAATGCGCCAACCATCCAGTAGCCAAACCAAAGACCGTCAGACTCAACCCGCTTATCAGTCCAATAGCCCAATTAGAGAGGACCTCGGTTGTTATTGAGGCACCCAAGACAGCTTTCCCTTCAACGACAGTTAGCGTGATATTCGCCCTCTCTCCAGAGAAAAGAGTTGTCTCAGGGTTGTCCAAAAAGTTATTCAAAACCGAGAGCAGAATGGATGGCTTCACCGTTGCTGATACAAGAAAGGGAATAAATTAATTACAACCATAAAAGGTGTTTAAAGGAATCCCTTACCAGGGACGGTCGTAGTTTCTATTTTTATTGTAGATGCCGGCAAGAATCTGCCAGTATCTGCAGTCGTCGAGAATGGCTCGGCAGATGTCAACATGACCACCGGAGCCGTAGATGTCGCCTCCACCGACGCTGTCGTCTCCTTTGACGCTAAAGTTGTAGCTGACGACAGCTGAGCCACCTCTGTCGACGTCGAAGCAAACTCAGTGGCAGGAACATTGGCTTGTTCGTACCCGATGCACAGTTCGACGGGATCCACGGCCGAAGCCTTGAAATTCCCCTCGCACCTCGTCGGTCGAAGCAATTCCACTCTCTGAGCATATTCAAAAGGACAAACTCAATAATGCTCATTCAGTACCTCGCCATTTGGACATACCTTGATGCCGAAGAACTCTAAGCATCCAAAATCAAGGACCCGACCAGTCAAGACGATCGTTCCCTTGAACTCGGGCGCTCAAACCACGTCCGCATCGCACGCTTCGGAGCAATGCAGGCGGCCATCTTTGACCGCACATCTCCCGCATGACGCGTCCGGATGAACCAGCAACACCAGCAGAAGCACCGCAACCGCAAAACTAGCCATTTCTTGTGCTTTCACTGCAAAATTGAAAAAGATGCACTAGGATCAGATCTGATCCGATTTTGTTAAAGGGTCTAAGGGAAATCACCTTTTCGCTGGGAACTCGGAAACCGAACGGTGAAAATCAACGAAACTCGCAGGAAACCTTCCTCACGCGCCCTACAAACGAACAAACTGTTTACTTTTTTGATTTTCATCCGCGTTTTGCGTAAAAATTGATCATTAACGAGTATCTCGCGAACGAAATCCGCGAACGAAAAACGCAAAATTTACCACGAAAAACGACCCAAAACCACCGGAAAACATTGAGAATGGGAATTTGAACTAATTTTGAGTAAGACCAAGCGAAAGAATCACTCGAATTAAGCGAAAAACTTAACAAAGTGGAGTTTAGCATAAGGCCTAAGGGGGTCAAGAGCACATACCTGCAAGGGGGTGCAAGGTGAACTGAGGTACAGGCATAGCAGTGCCAGACCTCTGCAGCTTCCTGGTGAACCTGAAGAAGTTAGGGGAGGCATGTGTGGTTGTTATTACCACTGTAATTGCTCCCCCATGAGAACGTTTTCCTGTGTAATGTCTTTCAGCATTGCTGAGACGTGATCAGGGGAGGTGTGGGAATCGAACGAAAATTTGATCCTTTTTCCCGCTGACTGAAACACTTTGAGAAAACTTGGTACGCAGGAGCTTTTTCTCGTTTACCAGGGGAGATTTGTAGTCATATTTACGACCACAACACCCTTCACTTTACGCGTGACCCTTTTAAGCTAATGTATTTCCGCTACGCTTGGCTGCGCCTGGCGCGCTAGTAATTATATTTCCCAATCCCGTTGTTGACGGAATTCTTTCTCAACCGCGCTCACGCTTCCTTCCTTTAAAGAAACGAAGCGTGACGTCCCCGATCCGAATCGGCTCTCTATGCGCGTCCCGTGGCCGTGGCCAGCTGAGGCTATATATACAGGTGCTGTTTATGTTGCTTTAAGTTGATCGCACCAGACCTTGTCCAAATGCTGACTCTACGCCGCTTTGCTCTGTAGAACGTATTGTTATCGACTGTGTGTGAAGATAAATAAATATCATTTTGAAATACTCTCACGGAGTAGCTTTTGCGTTTCCTTCAAAAAGCGGAAAACGATTTAAATCTCCGATCCCTTTTTCCTTTAATTATTAGAAAGAGTTATCAACGACTGATCATCGTTGATTCCTCATTCGTAAAATAGTTTTTGGATAAAAATTCTTAGAATATTTAGGAAAGGAAAGTCTGAAATAAGATAATCATATTTCACAATTTGAATTTTCTCTATTGTTTCATCAAAATAATTTCGAAATTAGGGCAATTCTTCAAATATATGTAATGAAAACATTGTACTTTGAAACATCCATTCCCCGTTCACAAAATTTCAGTTCTATGTACAGCATACTCAAAGAACCACGAATATCCTTATATCGAATTCTTTGCTATGACGAGTTTTTTTTTTCAGGTCCCTGGGAGTTTGTTGTAACGCGATTTACACAGTACTATACAGTATTGTATATCCTTTTTGCCAGTTCTGTTTGTGGTACGATATTTACAATACTGTACTCGGATTCGCAATAATGCGCTAAAATTAACCTGAATGAAGTACGCTCCGTTCCTCGTCGTCGTTTCCTCTTCATTGTTGTTGTCAGCGATAAAACACGACCCGTCATTATTGTCTGATGCAGGCAAATCAGGGGTTTTGATCGAAACACCAGAATGCAACACGACTTGAGGATCCTCGGTGACATGTTCGACCTGTTTTATTCGCGGCTTCTCGTCGTCGTCGTCGCCGTCGTCGTCGGGTGCCATCATCATCAGGTCAGGTCGCATCACAGGCAACTTGTCGTCTTTCCTGCCATCTTTGTTGAGACTCTTGATGCGACGGAGGAAACGGGTCAGTCGACGTCCGCCGTCTTTGCTCTTGACGGCCGTCGTCGTTGACGACACGTTCGAATCACCAGCAGCATCTGCGACCTCGTTTCGCGAAACTGACGATGACCTGACGAGATCGGATTGAGTCTCCGGCGCGGAACGTCTTCGGAAAGCCTGGAAAAACCGCATTCCGACTGTTCTTCGGAATCCTGTGTGAAAAAAAAATTTACGAAAAATTAAGAATCCTCGGCATATATGCATATATATAGACACCAAAAAAGTACATCAGCGGACACAAATTTGAAGCAACCCCGGGCTTTCTTGAGAGCAGTAAGACCTGTCTTTTTTTTTTTTAAGGAAAACACGGAAGTAAAAAAAAAAACATTCAACCGACAAGAACAACACTGTCAACACCCAACAGACAAAGGAAATTTCGCCGCACATGTACACGCATAATTCACTTATCCTCTCGAATTTCACGCCACGACCTTTTTTTTCATTCTGAAACCGAAGTCACTGATCCAGTTGTTTATTTATCCACGCGTTATTTCGCACTGGATTTATTTTGCCGCAGTCTTTTTGGGTTACATGAAATCAAGTACAGTGAGGTAGATTAACTCACACGAGGTTAGGTTAAATTAAACTAAGATACGTCATATAAGGTCAAGTTATTCTTCGCGGAAGTTCCTGACTTTGTCAACACCTGCATTAAATTCCAGAAATGTAGATGAAAAGAGCTTTGGATTGAAAAAAGTCCAACAGTTTCCGTTGATAAGGAACTATACTACATTATTTTGAAGATGTAGTCGTCCGTAATTCATGTATGGCACATGGAATAATGTCCACCAGTACGTGAAATGTGAACATAAAGTATTAAATTCAAGTACCAAGCATTCGGTATAATTTGAATATAACTCTTCTCGTCCGGGCAAATTTAAGCTTGAATTTTTCCTCGGAAGCAGGAGAAAGTCGCATCCGAAAAAGTTTTAGACAATTTACAGGACACCAATTATTTCAACAGCAGATGCGTACAAAAACTTCACCTTTCACGAATTCCGGGTTTCATAGGTATCTTAATTTTCAAACATTCCAACAAGATAAAAAAAACTAGTTTTGAACTGACTTCGAGGCGTGGAGATTTATCGACAAGGATTCACACACGGTATAAAATTCTCCGTATAGCTCGAGAGCTTTCGAGATTTATTTTACAACCTCTTAGTTTCAGTAAAAAAAAAAAATCTTCCCATTCATAGCTCAGAGCTTCACAATTACCTTCGTCAACAATGAATTGATCCTACAATTTGAATTTTTCTTCGGCCTCGCAGTATTCATGTACAAGTACCATATCCTGGGTTTATCACCTGCTCTTAGCGAACCTTGAAAAAGATACGCGAAGTACTTCATTATGCATTTATTTTCCTGTACAGTTATCTCCTATCTCTCCACAATGGCACATGCAGCTCTAAATCTTTTTCATGCATTATGTGCAAATATATGGCATGCAATGAAGATTGGTTCAGGAGAAAATGCCGTTGGGGCGAACACACTCATGAGAAAAACGCGGAAGAAAATGCCCAATGGGAAACTATTAAAACTTTCAACTTTTGTCCAAAGCAATATAAGAAATAGAGAGCAACCAATATTAACTTTATGCAATACAATACACATACACAGAATGAACAAAGTAAGGAAAAAAGGTAAAGTAATGTTAAAAATAAAAAAATGAATTTTTCAAGAATATACAATTTTTGGTTCATACAAAAGTCAATTTGTTCTTCGCCCATCAAGACTCTTATTCAGAGAAAACGCGCAAAAATTAAAAAGAAAGAACTATTCGCCTGATTCAAGTAATCATATACACCATAAAAATTGAGAAATGCAAAAAAATCGAATGATGACCACAGAGCTTAAAATCTAGTCAGAATTTCACGGTCCAAGCACATGCGCAATACGCGGAAAAGATTAGAGGATGATCAACGGGTTGAAATGGCTCAATTTTTGTACACGGAAAAGCAGAAATGGGAACTGCATCATTACTTGAGCTACCGCGGCTTTCTTTTTTTTTACCAGAGAGATTTTTCATTATAGGATGTCGTGACGTAATGACTACCTTAATCTTGAAGAACGAAAAAAACACCTGGGCTCCACCTGAACTTATTTTATCCAACACCAGAATACAAGTGTTAATAGCTGTAGTGTTGGATAATCTGGTAAATATAGATGAACCTACCAGCTTATATACGGTACTTGTTTGTTTTGATGATCACAAAATTTTTTAATCTTTTCATCTGTGATGTTGGCAATGTCAACTATCATGGATGCATCTAAGCAAAATTTTGCGAGAAATTAAAATCTATTTGCTATTAATATTTTCAACAATACAATAACACACATCATTCCAGTTCAAATTTAGCTTAATGGAAAATCTTCCCCAACGTCCTCCAAAAGCCTTACTATAAATAAAATATACCTAGTAAATTTTCAGAAAAATATAAGGTACTGTATACACATACAGAAGAATAAAGGGGTATCTAGTTACAGGTGGACTCTCAATTTCTACAACAGCATTCAAGGAACCAGATGAGAGATTTCTGTAGAAAACCCCTGTAACATGATGGGTGCAGAGAGAACCCTACAGGAAAAAAAATATTCTACAGAGAATATTGTTGTCAACAAGATTCCTGTAGAGATGAGAGCCCAATATATGGAAAAGCAAACCCAAAACCGGATTTTTGCACACTATTTCAGATGCTATGCAATGAAGCCTGATGAAAGCAGAAACATTGCTATTTTCAGTCCACTCCAGTTTGACCAAAGATCACCAAAATTCATCTAGGTTGAGAGGTTATGAAAAATCTCAGAAGAGTATAAATCCTCTTGTTTTCAGAAATATTCAATGCTAAATGTCCACCTGTAAATATACAGTATATCCCTTTATTCTTCTGTACATATGTATACAGCACTGTATATTTCTCTGCAAATTTACTAGATATGTCTTATGTAAGGCTTTTGGATAACGTTGGGCAAGATTTTTCCATTACGATAAATTGCAGCTGGAATGCTGTGTGTTGGATTAAGAATGCAGGAAAAATGCCACCCATCAATAATTTTTTTTATTCTAGCAAAAATGTTCTTCTTGCAGAATAAAATAATATTGCACTTTTCCCAACTCACGCATTTGTTCTCAATTCATGTTCTTTCATCATTCCAGTGCTCATGCTGGACACACAATTCCGCCACATAAAAAGGGTTAAAAATGAAATCCTAAAAATAAAAAAAAACACAGTGAAATCCACACCAGTACCACCACCACCAGCACTCGCATTCCACCAGAAAATGCGCACTGCGCTCACCGATGCACAGGAAAAGAATATTGTATATCCGCTCTCTCGGCAACGCGCACGCGCGGAAAAAAAGTCAGCCGTGCCATAACCGCGGGTTCACGCTTGCCGACCCCGCGATCGTGCCGCAAAGGTTGCCCACCAAAATCAAGGGAATTCCTCGGTTTCCGTCATCTGCATGTACAGTATTCAAACCCACCATTATCGTACGACGTAAAAATTAAATTTATCAAACCAACCGCGAAAAGCTCAACAGGGTCACCTTCGTAACGTGCCGATTAAAATACGTCGGGTCGGGATAAAATGTGACGAAGATAAAAATCACGCACGCTAATCAATGGCTATCCGTCTGTTTTCTTCAGTAATGCATAATTTCAGAAGCTTGATGCAGAATTTGAATACTTCTATGCTTTGTGAATGATACCTTAACAATCGGTTGATGGCATATTGGTTTTCTCTGCAATGCCTTTCGATACGTTTAAACACACAATCTTGATTGAGTCAATTTACCTCAACACCATAACGAAGGTATAAGTCCCAATAATCGTCCTCCGAAAACCTTGCATCACTCCAGAAAGCACAGCAGCTTCGGAAGGGTTACAATTTTCATTCACAAAAGCACTTCGCTGTGTATATACAGTACTATCGTATAGCAGTATGTGTACAAGTGTACTTTCCCATATATAATCACGCCGATACTGTATACTATACTTAATTCAATCACGGGCACACACATTTCAACAATAAAGCACAGCTGTGAAGGAATTATAGAGGCGACCTCTTAGATTCAATCAACTTCGCTGCTTCACTAACATAAAAATTCAAATACTGTAAATCACTGTTCGCAATGTCGCGTCGCTGCGAAACGTAAGTATAGACATATTGCTGACAATCTGCACACATGACACACACAGTATTTCAGTCCACGGGAATTACTGTACAGTATAGGTTCAGTATATGTACACGAGTTTTCTGATATGAGATGAGTGTGTGATTATATACCCCCGCCGTGGGATTTTCCGAGAAATTTTTACACTCAGAAAATACTTCAAGCGCAACAAAATAGCATATAAACGCGTCGTTCTTTCGACGGTGCATCAATAATAACACAACAAATCTTTCAAAAGGATCGGCAATGATCACGTCGATAAAAGTAATGAATTACACCGGATTGCTTAAAATTTTTTTTTTGCAGCAAACCGTATAGCGTACTGCTGTATGCATCACATAAACTTCAAGGGTATGAAAAGATGATCCGACGACAGATATTTGAGCATCTGCTGAGGATCTTCGTATATAAGGAACACTGCGAACGTCTTTCAATCGGACACCACGTACCATTCCACTCCTCAGAAGGCAGTTAACCCAACAAGCCAGCGCAAAGCGAACTCCTGCGTCGTGATACTGCGTGAAGCAGTATATGACCCGAAAGCCGCCAGAAGTTTGGAGAACAGGGCGACCTTCCTCATCCGCACACCAACTGGGTCACCGCAGATGCCGCCTCCACAAACGCTGCTCTCTTTCCTCGCGGTCAACGTGCCTCGCTTCCTACTCAAAAGCCTCCCAAATAACGGCATTTCGCAACGTCTCGGAGTTGACTTCGGGACGATAGACTTCTGTTACTCCCATGACGCATAATTAGCCTCTGGAAAGTAACTAGGTTTAGTCAATTATGTGAAGTTTGCAATCGAATCGATAAAATATCAGCGAATGGAGAATTCGGGTCAATAATTAACTGATGTAAAATTTTGCACATGATTGAACCTAATCACTTCATGATAACTAGGAGGCGCACTGCAGTATAACTGTATGAAAATCAGCGTTCAGCATGCACTCATCGCAATGAAGTGATGTACATCATTACAATAAGTAGAGCATATTATACAGCACTGTATACGTTCGAATCTGCATGTATAAATCGATCTTCAAATGAAGCAGACGCGTACGCTTAATTTGAGACATGGTCGACTAATTTGTTCTCATTCTGATGATGAATGATTCAAATCATATACAAGCCGTAATATTATGTAAATTGATCAGAGTACAGTATTCAAATTTAACACTTATATGCAGAGTCTATTTCTACGAATCGATATCATAATTGAGAAAGCTCAAGTTCACGGAAAATCTTCCTATATGCACGGTAAACACAATTTCCCTCCATGCAGAACTCTCAGTGAAAGTCGTCGTCTATATATTCGCCTCATTTCATATTCATTCATGTTACTGTGCTGTACTTAAAAAGCACACGATTTGAACATAAGGCTTGTCCGCGGTCTGGGAATATCGAAAACAATAGGATTCGATGACGCCATGTTGCGTCACATCACTCACATGCAACGCTTAAGATTTCGTCATGAGATGCGCAAGTTCTCACAGAACGCATTACGCCGGCGGTCTTGCTGGGGAATGCGCGCATCGGGCTGGGAATTTACTGGCATGGAATGCTAATTAGACCGTTATTTTCCCATACGCTTGATCTGGTGTATGCATGCTGATGATGACTTATTTTGAAATGCAAAGATTCCCGCACACACAACAATAATATGTATATATGAATGCTATTATCTTCGATATTGACAGCAGTTCATTTGAGACGACTTAAATCGGGAGAAATTCATGGGAAGCATAATGCGTATGATAACGCACGTATCGTTTCTTTTTGCTCGATTAATCCATCAGTGATGATGTGCACTCTAATTTACAAATGATCCCCGCATATCGAAACTACAGTATGTGGAGATCCGTTTCTGCATGCATGAGTTTCGTTATTCCGAAGTATTTTGAAAGTGTTTTCCCTGAAGATTGGGATATCATAGGATCAATTATAGTTCCACGCAGGAGCATCATCACCGAAAGATCAAAATAAATCATACAAATTTTATATTTTTCAGTAGAAAATTGTAAATTCAATATTGTTTAGCTTGAAATCGAAGTCATTTGACATCGATTGAATTTCACAAATTCATCTGAATGTAACAAATTGTGGCTGAAGAAATAATTTAAAACTGTTCTTTTCTTTAATTCACTGAGAAATTCCCAAGTTTCAGTCCACAACTTATTTTTGAACGTATTATAACTCAATTTCTGCTCGCAAGTTGTGATTATCCCTGCATTGTACATAAATGATCACTATATAAAAACGCTTGCTCAAATTTTTTACTGCAGTCATTGAGGAAGAGAAGTTGCATCACCCAGCTTCAACTTCTTCATTACCCCTATTCACTCCAATATATCACGACACGCCCCTGTGCTGAGTAAGACCCTCACATAAATTTCTTCGCAGAAAAATAATCCTTGAGTAAAACCTGCACCAAAATTTTCCCTGATTAAAATGTGCATTATCACCTGCACCTCAAATGAAGCATCTACAAATATAAGAAAACAAATTAAGGCAAAAAGAGATGAATTGAATGACATTCAACTTTTACTTGTTCGAATTTTCATGTCTCGGTATGGCTATATATACAGTAGCATGATACGGTACTAATTTCGCGTTGAAAAGGTGACCAGAAGTACAGATGGACTTGTGTACTGTATATATCTCCTATCACGTGCACCCATTTTTTCATTATTCCGAAAAGAGGTGAACGTCGTACAGTATATACAGTACTGTACTAATGTACAAGTGCGGTATTTTTCATTAAAGTTATCTTCATGGCAGCTAAAATGCAATCAGGCCATCAGTCTTCGATTGTAATACTCATCAGTATCCAAATTGCCGGTGTCCTCCACGATAAGTGCAGGTTATGTAGGTGAATAGTTCATGCTCGAGGCAAATTAGGTTTTCATGGAAATTCAAAATATGCAACACATACCAACATATGAAGCCCTAATGGATCTGAAGAAATATAATAGACACGAACAGGGACAGAATTCCACACTGGAATGACAAGTGAAAAAAATCATTTGTTTTTCTTACGAAGTTTGCCGTTTTTATTCAAGGCAATGAATGTCCCCAATAATAAACCAGTAGCATAAACAGCGCAATCATGCCCGATCCTCCATTTCCAAAGAAAAAGTCATAATCGTCCACACTCACGCCCGCACTCGCACCTGCATCTCGCATTTATAGCAGCCCCAAGAAAACCCCTTCAGGGAGGGGGCAAAAAATCAGACCCCCCCACTTTTCAGGAAACCCCCGGACCACGACTCACATACACACGAGTTATCCTCCCTTCCGAAGAGCTTCTAGCCACGATTCCCTTCCCTTTTCGAAAAAAAAGGCGACGAAGCACAAGCTCGCCTCTCACGCTCAAAACGAACAAGCAAAGAAGACTCCCTTTCGCTCCGTGTTTCTGCTTCTTCCTCAGCTACGACGTTTTGTGAGGGGGGTCAGAAAGTCGGAGTAGAAAATCACACGGTAGTAAGCGACGTCAGCACTCGTTAAAATCCTCCCGCACTCAGAAAAAAAATCCTTAATGATCAGAACGACTTCCCGAAAACCAGACATTTCTACGAGGGACCGCATGCAGAATTTCTTGTCGAAGCGATGGTGACCAACTGGGTGAAGAGGTGAATAACTGCACTTTCACGAATATCAAGCATTCCTCAAGTGTCGAGGAATGAGGCAAAAACCCTTCTAAAACCCTAATGGACTTGATTGCTCACCTTGATATGACCAGAAGGATCCATTTTTTTCTTTTTTTTTTTTTTACAAATTAAAGTACCGTACCTTATTAACGCGAATATGGGCCGCACTTTAATTCAGGGCAGCGATTCGTCGACGAAACAATTGGAAAATTTTTGGAATTTCAGAGGAAAAAATGCAACGAATACACGCATTACACAGTAATCGCATTTGGTTTATGAAATTTCAAAGGTATTTAAATAGTATGCAAATTAAAGTTCTTGATAAAAACTCCCGCGATACGCAAATGACCCACCAAAACACCAGGCTAGGTGCTTTACCCCTCCCCTCCCCAAGGCAAGGTTTTTGTCTTTCCAAATCATGCCCTGACTTAATCTCTTACCACTCTCATATTATTGAATATAGGCCACTCTGGTCACTGGCGGCCTATTCTCAAAAACAGGCTGCACCCGAGATCTTAAACGCGCATCTGTCGGGGAGTAAAAATGTGCGGCCTATAATCGCAGAAATAAGGCAGTCATGAATTCATTAGCAAGAAGACGTTTGCAGACGTAAACGCACTCCAAAGATACGAATTATGACAGTGCAAAGACGGGGGTCAATTCTCAGTCAGTAAATGCACCATGATTTCGCGAAACGGGACACAAAATAGCATCACGACGAAGAAGAGCAACTCACTTTTTGGCCAAGGTAAGTTGTGCTGATCATTACATTCGCTATCACACAAAAAAAAAAGAACCGATGGGACCGGAAAAAGGGGGGGCAGCTCGGCGTCACCCTTTCACAATACTTTCCCTCCGCGTCGGAAGAGTGCCAATGAAAACCGGATGCATGCCGACAAACCGAACGCTTCTCAAAATACCCCCTATGCCTGTGAGCCGTTTCCGTTTTCCCTCCCCCGAAAATAAAACCGATGACTTTTTTTTCGAGCAAAATCGGCGAGTTTTTCTTTTTTTGATTATACCCCCCCCCCCCACACACACAAATCGTTTCCCCTAATTTTGGCATGACATTCCTGCGTTACATCGGACCCAAAGCAACCGTTATTGCATCACACGAATGGGGCCTCTAATTCGTCGACAGTCGTGAAAGATCCTCAAACAAACAAGGACACGCGAACACAACATTCAGATTTCGGGGAAAAAAACAAAATACGATCACAAGCCAGCGGGTCGTTCGCTGGGAAATAAAAAAAAACCTCAAAAATAAATAATTACACGCGACGAGCAACCGAACATTGGTAAGCCTTCCTTTCCTAGTAACTAATCCCCGGCTATCCTTCCGACCGAAAAACCAAACGTCCTTCTCGCCTAAACTCGCTCCTTTCCCCATCGAACCAAGCACCGTACTGTAAAAAAGAAATCAAGTAAGCGAACCGATGTAAAATTCCTCGCAACTTTTTTTACAAAGGATAAGGAAGAAAAAAATCCGTTTTTCTTCTTCTTTTACGGCAACACGACTTTTTGGATTCGTCGGGGGAAAAAAAAGAGGCGAGCTTTGTCGATTGAAACGGACGTTTGTTTTCGAAACAAAAAATAACATAAATAAATCCGAACGTAGCCGATACAAATTCACACGTCGCCCACGCCTGCCGACGGCCAACGTAAAGCTGAACATCGAAAGCGTGCTAGCTTCGCAACGACGTTAAACTGCTGGGCGGGGGGGACGACGAAACCAGAATAATGTTCCTCTTTCTTCCTCTTTTACCCCCGGGGAGCGCCTTCAAGACTTGGCGGATCGCAAGCACCGAACACTGGCATTCAAAATTAGAAAAAGAAAACACTTGAATGGAGTAGAATTCGGACCCAGAAGTGTTCCTCTTTTTCGTGTCGACTTCTGCTTCTTCGACTCATCATCATCCGGGAAAATTCTTTTCGTTTTTCCTCCCTTCTCGCTAAGACAAAAAATGAACTCAAACCGAAAGAGAACCTTCCGCCAACCTCGCACGGAAACAAAACGAGCACTAGACCAAATTGTACTCCTTCAGATTACTCTGAAGTATGGTGTCCTTGACGGCTGCGAATACAAACCGGATGTTCTCCGTATCTGAATTGCGGAAAGAGAACACAAGCAAAAATCATCAGCATTTTCATCACACCTGAGAACATGTCCCTCCTATCAGAATGCCAAATTTACCCGAATACAAGACGCCATCGATTCTAAGAAATACAGTACTCATACGTTTTCAGTCACTAACTGAGGATAGAAGTTCGCTGGCAAATTTGAGACGCATTCGCACTTTCTTCGGGAAAGAAAAACATAAATTTGCAAAAAAAAAATCACTTCAAACGTAACTGAGCAATTACAATAGTACCTGATGTGGGGATGGCGAAGTAAATTTGGCCACTTAGCCTCAAATGGGTGATGTCCAATTACATAAATTACTATTATGAAAAAAAAAATGGTTGCCAAAACTGAAGTCATATAAAAATGCAACAGATGCACGTCAATCTATCTGATTCAGGAAAATTTACTTCTTTGATCTATGCAAGGTAGGACAAATTCCGCAAAATTTTTTTTTATTGTACGAGAAATCCATGGTTTTGATCATGCTTTCAACTCAATGCTCAGTGAGTGAACGAGATTTTATTTGTTTTATTGTGCGCATAATTCTAGACCAGCCCTGAAAATAAAGTTCTCCTATTTGAACCTGAGCTTCAAAAATTGTAAGATCTTTCCTTAAAATCAGAAAATGGCACGTCTTATATTTACGCAAGCTAGGCATATCCAAGAAATTCAAGCCCATGCAGAAGAATACCAAGAATACAAGAAAAGCACACCACAAAAAGGGGAGGAAATGTTTTTATACCATTCTTCCCACAGAAAAAAAAGAACATGCACGGGAAAGGAACACAAGTTATGACTGCGTTTCGGCACCACGGCCTTCACCTTAAAACCCCGATGTGCTCAAATGAAGCTAAATCTCCAGAATACAGTATTCCTTCTTGTCCGGGTAACTACGTTAACATGTCATACAGCCTAGGCATCATCCACGGTAACTCGTTGAACACAACCAACTTAACTAAGGCAGCCTCCAAGCAATCCCCCGAAACATCAAGAGAAAGCCCAGATCCATGCAAAACGTAAGGTAAAAGGCGTAAATGCAAGCACGAATATTTCTCTTTTTTCCGTAAACGCCGTCATCAGTAGGTTTCAAGCCAGGTTATACTCCTTCAAGGCAGACTGCATAAGCGTGTCCTTCACCGCGCAGAACACAAGCTTGATGTTCTCAGTATCTGCATTTATCCAAGTTTTTCGCATGCACCGGATGAAGCGAGATGAAGAGAAGAAAGACAAGGAAGCATGACTCACGCTCATCACAAGATTACTACACAGCGACTGAAAACTTACTGGAAAAAATTATCAATTTCAAGAACGCATTAAAAATCATTCACGAATCCACTGAGAAACTTCGATGAAATAGACACACTTCTGAGTTATTTTCCAGACTTTCCCATGGAAGTTTTCGTTCGCCAAACACAAATCGTACCCAAGGATTTTCCCACTTCAACGTTCAAGGTGCCGGACAATATTTCTCTGCGTTGTCACATTGGTCCGGCTTGAATCATTCAAATCATACTCCCATTCATTTTGGGCGATTCAGGCGACATCTGTATGAAGTTTCAGAGATGCAAGCTTGACCATTGAACGATTGAAGTAAAATAATCCCAAACCACACAACAGACAGCATTTCTAACCAAAACTACGTAAGGAAACACACAGACCGGAAAGAAGGAAGTAATCATTTTCCCAGAAGGACGTGCGTGCACAACAGCAGGCGGAAACGGAGGAAAATAGGTGAGGTGATTTACCTGTGGCACAAGTGAAATGGGAGTAAATGATCTTCTCACTATCAGGATTCAAGTCTACGAACATCCTCAGGATGAATTCCCTCGCCGCAATGGCGTCCCGCTGAGGACCTGATGAAAACGAGAAACTACGTGAACGGCGTGAATTTTTTTCTGACGGCACCAAATTAGGCCACATCGCAGACCACAAGACATCCTAGACAACAGCACGAAAAATACTGCTTCGAGTTACGAAACAGACCCAATTTTTGGACCAAGAATGGCTTTAGAACACGCTTGCGCGAACGTTTTCATCCCTGATAAAAAAAAAAACCATGATTGGCTTCGGTCTCCGCACATTCTCCTGCATACTCACTTCCCTTTTTACGCAGGACCGAAATTTCCACAATCTCAACAATACTTCAGAAAGATCCTCAATCAAAGCTTTCTGTAAGAAAAACCGACATTTTTTTGTGCTCATCTTTGCGTCAGAGAACTCTACGGACACGACCAAGACAGAAGTGTCGACTCTAAGATTACGCTCAACTTAAAACAACCCTACGTGAAAGTGAAAAATCCGCCTCCTGCATGAAGTGATGGGGCTGAATTGATAAGAACAATGCTCAAAAGAGCGTTTTGAGTAAACCTGTAGCACAAGTGAAATGGGAGTAGCACATGCGGTCAGGACTCGGATTTTGGTCCAAATACATCTTCAAGACGAATTCTCTCGCTGCTACATGATCCAATTTTGGNAAATTATCAATTTCAAGAACGCATTAAAAATCATTCACGAATCCACTGAGAAACTTCGATGAAATAGACACACTTCTGAGTTATTTTCCAGACTTTCCCATGGAAGTTTTCGTTCGCCAAACACAAATCGTACCCAAGGATTTTCCCACTTCAACGTTCAAGGTGCCGGACAATATTTCTCTGCGTTGTCACATTGGTCCGGCTTGAATCATTCAAATCATACTCCCATTCATTTTGGGCGATTCAGGCGACATCTGTATGAAGTTTCAGAGATGCAAGCTTGACCATTGAACGATTGAAGTAAAATAATCCCAAACCACACAACAGACAGCATTTCTAACCAAAACTACGTAAGGAAACACACAGACCGGAAAGAAGGAAGTAATCATTTTCCCAGAAGGACGTGCGTGCACAACAGCAGGCGGAAACGGAGGAAAATAGGTGAGGTGATTTACCTGTGGCACAAGTGAAATGGGAGTAAATGATCTTCTCACTATCAGGATTCAAGTCTACGAACATCCTCAGGATGAATTCCCTCGCCGCAATGGCGTCCCGCTGAGGACCTGATGAAAACGAGAAACTACGTGAACGGCGTGAATTTTTTTCTGACGGCACCAAATTAGGCCACATCGCAGACCACAAGACATCCTAGACAACAGCACGAAAAATACTGCTTCGAGTTACGAAACAGACCCAATTTTTGGACCAAGAATGGCTTTAGAACACGCTTGCGCGAACGTTTTCATCCCTGATACAAAAAAAAAACCATGATTGGCTTCGGTCTCCGCACATTCTCCTGCATACTCACTTCCCTTCTTACGCAGGACCGAAATGTCCACAATCTCAACAATACTTCTGCAAGATCCTCAATCAAAGCTTTCTGTAAGAAAAATCGACATTTTTTGTGCTCATCTTTGCGTCAGAGGACTCTACGGACACGACCAAGACAGAAGTGTCGACTCTAAGATTACGCTCAACTTAAAACAACCCTACGTGAAAGTGAAAAATCCGCCTCCTGCAAGAAGTGATGGGGCTGACTTGATAAGAACAATGCTTAAAAGAGCGTTTTGAGTAAACCTGTAGCACAAGTGAAATGGGAGTAGCACATGCGGTCAGGACTCGGATTTTGGTCCAAATACATCTTCAAGACGAATTCTCTCGCTGCTACATGATCCAATTTTGGTCCTGATGAAATTATAATTGAACAGAGATTAATCGTCTGATTACGACTAAATCAACGAAAGTGAGTTCTTGAGTTTATCGTTCTTCCGACACAGAATTTTAACGAAGCAGCTCACAGGTTTTCAAGATTTCATCACCAAATTGTTTGCCAATTCTGCGCACAAAAGCAAACCGCGCTATTTCACAAAGCTCAAGGTTTCCTATAACATGACAGGTGCCGCTTGTATCTTGCTATTTTCTTACGTTGAAATTTCGGGACAGATAAGCGATTAAGGCGACACCCATCTGATCTTGCAGAAATCTAAGACGGATATTACAGGGAAGTCAAAAACGGATTTTGAAAAGGAACACGATTACTCGAACCGTAACAAAAAATAAGCTGAAAATCATCTGATCAAAAATTAGGACGCCTTTTAAAATTTGGACTCTTCTGACGCAGGACCACACGAACATGAAAATCGAATCCGTTCAAAGCCTCGATTCCTCCAATAATTGAAAAATGCATGATGAAAACATAGAAAACGCAGTTTTCTAACAACTCACCTTCGTACTCAGGGAAGTAGTCGACGAGGTGGGATTGCATAATTTTTTCCTCGAGAAGATCCTTCTTGTTTCAATAATTGAAAAATGCATGATGAAAACATAGAAAACGCAGTTTTCTAACAACTCACCTTCGTACTCAGGGAAGTAGTCGACGAGGTGGGATTGCATAATTTTTTCCTCGAGAAGATCCTTCTTGTTTAGAAAGAGAATGACCGAGGAATGCTGGAACCATGGGTACATGATAATCGTCTTGAACAAAGCTTTGCTCTCCTCCATTCGATTCTGCGCAACAAGATAGAGACACGTCAGAGTTGAGCTCACCGAAACGAAGTACTGTAGCTTCGAGTACCGTACAGTTCGTTTTTACATTCAGAGGAACTGAAGAATGAAGTGAGTCGAAAACTTTCAACCAGAATAAAAACATATACTTCTTCTGAAAATATTTGTACTCGAAGTTCTTGAAATTGCTTACATTTGTGGAGTGCCTAGATTCCCTTCGCGTGAATACGGCAAAGCAATGTGAACTAACCGAAAGTAAACTAACCTTGATTGAATATACAGTAGTGCGAATTGCCTTGAAGTACCCTAACGTAACAAAAAATAACTTGACATGACATCTAACCTAACCTCAATGAAATAATTTAATTTGATTTTGGGGAAAAAAAACCAGAACAAGAAGAGGGTCGAGGTGATTCTTAGCGAAGCGACATCTACATTACATTCGTGAAAAACTTAAAATCATGCTCATTGAGTGGCAGTTGCTTCACGTACATGCGCCGCAAACTGACCCTGGGTCACATACATGAAGAACGGTACATAAACTAGCGCCGAATTTCCGGATTCCGTACAGTACTGGACGCTCCCCGTAACGGAACAAGTCCATTAACCGAGTCATCCCGCCGTAATAGACACAAAGCGACGTTTTCCCTCACCTCCTTCTCAGACTCATACAGGATCTGGTCGTATTCGGACAAAGCCACGAGGAAAATGATCGACGTTACGTTCTCGAAACAGTGGATCCACTTCCGGCGCTCGCTGCGCTGTCCTCCCACGTCCACCATCCTGTCGTCGCACACGCGGAAAACATCCAACGGAATCACGTACAAATACCAACAGTGTCGCGACGGAATCATTGAAAAACGGCAGGACCGGCTTTTACTAAGCTACACGGCTAAAAAGAGGATGGGGGGCAAAACCCATGCGTTGCAAACTCGGAGAAAATCGTTACGGCTAAGATCAAAACATGCAAACGCAGGCAGAATCGACCGCTTGCAGATGAAGAAGTGAAGTGAGACACGGAATCAGCATGCGAAAATCCTGCACCGGAGACGCGTTAAAGCGCTTCATTGCGAGTCGATTAGATTTTCAGAAAAGCTGATTCCCGCGTTATTTCGTGACGCTGCACATAAGCCGTGCTTCAAAAGTCATCGATCTCGCCACGTGCCGAAACTTTCAAATTTAGAAACACACTTCGAACGAATGATCAACCGAACCCGGTTTTTGACAGGGGAATAAATTACTGTACAATACTTCAATTCATACGTTGAATCCTCAATGCGTGTTCAATATTCGGATCAGGCTTCACACAAGAGCTGCTTTTCACAGGCAGCGAAGGTCTTCTAATTTTTCACTAATCTAAGGAAATCCTGCTACATGAACGATAAATTTCGAAGCCAGGCGCCAGCAATTCACAGTAGTTTTTTTTTTTTACAGATAAGCAACGCGCAGAACACACGAATAGTTAGCGTTAAAAATTGCAATCACGTGAACAATTTTTTTTCCAAGTAGCCAGAATTTCCCGTAATTTCAACTTTTTATTCCTCAAAATACAGCAAATTAATGTTCAACGACCAAACATGGTTTCGACAACGAAATTTTCCAGATTCTGCGAATATTTTCTTAGGGTGGTCGCATGTCCAAAAATGTGAGCGTTTAACCCATAATATGAAAAAGCCACAGTACAATTCTGAAGAAATTCATGAAATTTCTATTCGATTTTTCAAAAATTCAAATTGATTTTTATGTTCTTCCTCATATAAAGAAAGGATAACGCATTTCAGAAAAGGTTTTGAAGACAGGACGATTCGCTTGCTTCAAGATTCACAAGACAACATATCATGAAATTTGTGTCACAGGACTGTGAGACAGCTTGAATGACAATAAGAAATCCCGGTATCATTCGGCCATCGGAAATTAAAATTGAAAATTTGTGGTCTTTTCAGGATAAATCTCTGAATGACTCAGTCATTACTAATCCAACACACCATTCGGAGTCAAAAATCCTCACCCTGACAAAGACCCGTTCATTCCATTCCCTCACATTTTGACTCGACAATTATCGCAGTCCTAAAAATGCTCCTAATTCCCTCCCATTTCTCCATGTACCAGTTACTAGTCGATGTTCCGAATATTTTCCCTTTTCCTCTTTCGTGCGCCGAAGACATGATGCCAGGATTCTTCCTTCAGGTTAAAATGCTCACATTGCGATGACACAAATTTCATCATGAATACAGTAAGTTCACGATTCCCTGAACGATTCACTCCTTCTCTTGCTGAGTAACGCAACGCGAAATTTACAACTGTTAGTTGCAAATTTCCAAAATTGTTGAAGAAAACAACAGTTTCGGCAAGTGGTGGACCGACGACTCAATTAACTCCCCCCGGAAATGCTTCCCTTCGCGCACCTGACATTCTTTTATTTTACGAGGGGGGAGGATTACCGGAAAATGATGGAGTTCAAATCGAACGGATATTCCGTGATACCGGTCGTCGGCGCTCTGGCTCGGAGAATGTCCTGCTCCGTTGGCAAGTAACCGGGGTCAGAAATCCTGTCGATATCACTTAAATAACTGCAACAACACGGAAAAGAGACAGAAGGAGAGGTGAAGAAAAGAAAGAAGGAAAATCAAAAGGAAACGGCTACTATCAGAACGACTGGACAGGTTTCAACGAAGTGCTGCTCCCTCTGTGGCCGCAGGACATTCCAAGAACACGCCGAATTCCTAGCATACGCCTCATGGAACGTCGATCCACGAGTAACACGCGCTTCATGTTCATTATCTTTCAATTAATCATTACAAAACAGTCCTGTCCAACTTAGACGTCGCCAAGGGCCACATGAATACATTTTTTGTCGCCCAGGGCCACATTCTGGAGGTGGAGAGTTCTTGTGGGCCACAATAGACAAAAATTTCCAAATGTTTTCCTTCTGAAGAAATTTCAAATTGAATTCAGTGCAGTGTATTGCATCACAAGCATAGCCTTCTAGATTTTTTGAAGGGTGGAGCAACATTTTGCATTTTCAAATTCATCTTTCAATACGGCATACATTTTGAAAAGTAGCGGCTGCCACCTTGAATTACAGAAAAGGGACACGGGAGAGATGGAGTGTCTGGAGGCCGGATCTGGCCGCTAGTTGGGCAGCAATGTCAACTTTCTTCGCCATTACAAATTTCATAGGTGTCGCCTGAATTCCCCACCGCTTCATCAAATGAAATCAGATGTTCTAAACCTGATCTCCGCTCTTCTGCGGAATCCAAGACGAGCCCAGAAAATCGAGAAAAGAAATTGATTACAGTATTTATGGAGAAAATGCATGACAAAAAATGAAAAATATAAGGACCTTCATGTCTGTAATCCAAGATAAGTTGTACTGTACAGTTTTCCTAAAAGCCATAGACTTCAGAATCATTCAGTAGACCCGTCTTCAAAATTTATTTCAGAAGGGGCTCTACAGAAAAAAAAAATTTACCGGTACAGTACCAAGTTATCCGCATCGTTTCGAGGCTCGGTTCGGTTGAGGGGAGGCAAGTGATTCTAGATGGCAAGTACGAGCAGAAAGAAAGACAATTGTGAGTAACATATTCCTCACACATTTCAAGAAAAACATTGAATTTCTTGACGAGGAAGTGAACGGTGATGCATACGAAAGTGATATACGAGGAAATAAAGTTTTTCCAGGAGACACAAATCGCGGCCATGCAGCAGCAGCAGCAAAGCAAGAAAATCACGGCTTCCAGGCACGGAAAATAAATTCCGCCTTTCCCCGATTTCCTCGACACTCCGGGGGCTTCACGGCGCTTGTGAGGATTCTCAGTTACAAGCCGTTTTGTCGTCGCCCTTATTTCGGTAATCCCAACACCCTCGCTTCTTCCCCTCCCCACAAAAAAAGTTAGCGTCGCGACAAAAGGAAAATCGAATCTGATGGAACGCAAGAAACCATACGAATACCTCACCCCAAAAATCCTTCCCAAGACTTCTCGAGGCGAAGCGGATAAAAAACGTGACCACGAGTCACCGACCGATCCCGATCTACCTTTCGCTCAAAACAATATGCACGAAGTCTCCCACCTTCGATCACTTGGTAACTGAATTCCAATTTTAGACAAAAATAAGCGTTAATTCGATGATTAGCCGACGCCAAGATATTAAATTTAAGAAGACAAACAACCTCACCAGGATTATAACCAAAACGCTCGAGAACCCTGTCCGTCAGGCAGTTCAATAGCACAGACGATATTTCATCAAAACACCGAGGTACCAAAGGGACTACTATTCTTTGGCAAACAAAAGCGGTTTGTACCGTGAAAACCAAGGAAAGTCGTAGTTTTAAAGCATTCATTCGATGGCTAAACGCATCAAATCCTAGAAAAAGAGATCAACATCGATAAAAGACTACATCTAAACTCTCGACATCATTCATGGAAAGAGGAGATTTTGACGAAACTATGACATTCAAACTCGGACCTCGTGATTGCAAAATCATACGATTGATTTTCACGTTTAGCGTTCCGTTTTTCTATCACATTCACCCAACGAAACGGAAACAGCTAGCGGCTCGTCAAGCCAGCGAGCGAATCATGCACAGGAAAGAGGAAAAAACACGCAGGCTGCAACTCCTCGGGTCCTCCGTATTTTTTTTCCAACACTGAATCGCTCACCTAAACCTAATTTCTTCAAGATCAAATATGTATTCTACGATCCCCGTCGTCGGCACTCGCACACGGAGGATGTCCTGTTGCGTTGGCAGGTAATCATTCACGGCTATTCGGTCAATGTCCGATAAATAGCTGTACCACAGAAAAACACAGCCACTTTCTCAAATCATGGGACTCGAAACAAATCTCCCTCAACATCAAACATTGTAGATCAAGTGCTTTGAACGAAAAATATAACTAAATCCCTCGAAGAAGCATACCGTAACCTTGAAACAAACGGGACTTACGGAGAAATGACGGTTGATGATTTCGCTTTTCAAAACCAAAAGTTTCATCAATTTTGCCACTGATATTAAAAAAGGGCAACTCAAGGATGAATAAATCCAGAAAAAGGAACACATAAAATATGAACCCTGAAAAATGCTCCCAAACAGAAAGGCGACATAAAGTCACGAATTATAAGAGAAAATTGAAAACAATCGTCCTGTTAAAAACAAGATGAGGTGAACGCGGGCGGAAAATTTAACGCTGAAATTGAGCCGAATTCGAGATTAAACCACAGATGATTCAACGTTTCAAGAGAAATGAAACTCACTATTTGGCGGAATCGGTGAGCTGATATTCCCTCCTTCGGTCGTAGCACACTTGGATGCCTTTGTCCTGCCACAGTGCTTTGATCGCACTCACATAGGGTTCCTCAAAACTGCCGACAGTTTCATAATCGATTGACCGCACCAGCTCCGCTTTTTCCTACAGTAAAATATCTTACAATAAAATTGGGACTTTCTCAAAATTCAAGCACAATTTGAAGCAAGAATCAAGTGATTTCGCTACACAATTCCACGATAACGACGGAGAAGTCCAAGACATTTCGGGATTAAAGTACAGTAAGAGGTGCTCATCTCCCTAAATAATGTAATGATACTTCAATTGCGAACTACACATTGAGCAATGAATGGTTCAACAAATTTGGTAACATGACTGATTCTTCGCAAGTTCGCTTCGAAACAGGAATACTTATCAACAGGAAAAATGTGACGCCTAAAATAAATTACCATGCACATTTATAAAAGATAAAAAAAGGAAACGTACAGAGCTTGTCGACTCGCCGTAGGGGATTTTAAGCATTTCCATGGCCTTGATCATGGATTGCATGGCCATGAAAATATTCTGGTAGACTAGCTTGATGAACCCGCGTTTATCTTCGTCTGAGTAACCAGCGCCATGGATAATACGCATCTGCTTGATGAATGTCGATTTTCCTGATTCTCCAGTTCCTATAGAAGTACAATTTTTATCAGAAAGGGACGAAACAATCGCACATGAAGAAGTGCAGAAAGAGAAGGAAGGACTTGGCATGCGGGTATCTGCCATTCTAACGGTTCACGCGATCGCGACGCACGAAAACAAAGAATACACGACACTCATAGCTTCACGATTCTTTTTTTTTCACACGGGCATGCTTGGACGAAAGGAACATGCTTGTCGGCTGAAGTCTCGAAATGGATGTCTTCATACCAAGCAGAAGCAATTTGAGTTCCCTCCGGGCTTCTCGCTTCCCGCGCTTCAGTTCCCGTTCAATTTCCTGGTTAATGCGTTTCGCTTCTTTCTCCTCCTCGCTTAGGCAACACATCATGCTTTTCCAATTCTTCACTTGCAAAGGCGACAACGGGGTGGTTCTGAGCAACTGCCGACGCACCAATCCTATGCGCACACCACCGTGAAATTAAACCGCACTCAAGACCAAAAATTCTCGGAGTTTCCGGGCATCATCCATCGGACGTCACGATGTCCTGAACCTATGCGCTACTGGCAAACTACGGCGCCGCCGGTAAGACTCGAACACGTACTTTTCTCCGTTGAGGTTGCTCACTACCAGCTACATGCTGCCACCACTGCCAGAAAATGCTTCAACGACCGCCGGCGACGCGAAATCGCGACGGCGAGTGCCAAACGAGCAGCATCACCGAATACCGCGCTTCGAATTATATATTCGTCACTTCGTGAGGAAAGCCAAAGCGGTTAGCACAATAAAGCGACAGCAGTAAGCAAGCACCATTTCACCGGAAAAGTTCACATATGCACACAGTGAAGTCAGTGCATGGGAGAAGAGTTCACCGTGAAGTGAGGGATACCAGTTTTGATCTCGTTCGTACCTAGAAGAAGAAGTTTCAGTTCCCGACGGGCATCACGCTTGTCTTTCTTCAACTGCTTCTCGATTTCTTGGTTGATGCGTTTTTGCTCCTTTTGCTCTTCACTCAGGCAACAAGCCATGATAGCTGCCAACATCCGGCGACCACGAGGGCGCGTGAAGGACTGGAAGTCCCTCGACCCGCCAACTGCCACCCGAAGCAAGGGATTACCGTCGGCTGAATCGACCGACGCGACTCACGCGAAAGAATTACGCAAGCATAAGGGGTGTCACCGACGCAGAAGAGATACTGAACTTCAAAACACTCAGGAATACGGGAGAACAGAATAATCCACCACGGACAATTCTTAAATAGCCCCTGCGGAAAATTCCGCTATAAAGGGTCTTCCACAACAAGGGCAGAAACGGGAAGCCCGAGTGGCATCGCTTTAAGCATCCCGCATCGGTCAGAATACTTTCTGTGTGGCATACACATCGATCATGCTCAAAAATACATTGTAAACACACACATTCCAAACTTTCCGGGTTTTCTTACAACATTCCTCATAACTGCACAGAAGATGAACTCCAACAGTATAGATGAGAAACAGAATCGCTCGAACGTCTGGCGGCAAGCACGCATGCGGAGACAGAGCCGAAGCCGGGAAGTTAAACTCAGCGAATGCCGTGCGCAACGAATGATTTCGAAGGCAAAATACATTTAAAACCTTTCCGTTCTCACATATTCTAGCTATTTCATCCAGCTGAAATTATGTCAATCCAATCTCGTGGCCACCGACAATCATATTATTATCGAAACACAGCTAGCTCAAAAAACGAAAAGAGGGAGTGAAATATGGGAAAGATGCGACTCTCTTCCAGTATATTTCATGCAAACAAAAATCTACGCAACAAAACAAGCTTCCGAATACTTTCGTTATCACTTGCACGCCGCCTACATCAACCTCATCGACCGATTTCACGAATTTCATGCCTAACCGTGGCGCCATCTCATTCGCCGATTCGGACGCGCGCGTGTGTTATCGATTTATCAAAGAGCGGCAAAATACTTTCATAGAGCAGTAGAAATATCGTAGTTAAGTGAAGGAATAGAACATGTACAGTTTACGGAAACATTTGCGGATATGGAATACTTGCGTCGAAATTTTCGTTCGCACGCATCCATACAGAGATATAGACCGAAAATTTTCGAGGGATTATAAAGAAGCCTTACGACCTCCGTAAAGTAGAGTACAGCTGAGAAACGAACGTCGAACGGATTCCAGCACAAGAGGAAAGAAACGATTCCGAGCAGCAGCAAACCGTTTGTTTAATCGAAACCGAACCCATCACAATTCGCACATTCGCACAAGCGTCAAAACATGAAAACAAAATAAATTCACGCACAGCAAATTATTTACACGAACAAAAAATAACCCATCGTACGGATACCAAACAGCGAAGACGAAATTCCGCAGCTTATTCAGTTAATGAGTAAAAACGAACGACTGACAGGAACTCACTGAGTCATCACGGTTCGGATTTCAGCAAAACAAACATTCATTCGATGCCGCCAGGCAATTTTTACGCGCGATATCATCAACGAATTTTCATCAGTAGCGCACTAAATATTTCTGCTTTGAACGTCTTGGACGAAAAGATTCCACGTGAGTTCAAGTATGAAATTCAAGAGTGAATTGAACGTCAGGCAGATATTTCGTGATTCACGAGACAGTTGATCAATATTCAGTACCAGCAGCTACTCACAGTTTGAACATACAGTATTAAACATTTGTGGGGAAGTTCAAAAGTTTGAAAGAAAATCAACAGCGGGATCAAACGCCTTCGTCCCGAATTATGTTCTCCAGAAAATACCCTACAGCTCTTACACGGAAATCAGAAGTTCTTGAAAATAATTGCCAAAAATGTGAGAACACTCACGCTTGTCCAGAATGCTGCTCAATAATAAATCTAACAAGTGTCAATCACCCAGCAGAAAATTTTGAAGATTAACGAATACACAAAAGTAAGTGCACAAAAATTAATAGGTTCAACCTGCACTGCTGTCAAGGATAAGCACAATTACGTCCAACCAAAGTCATCATCAGGGTTCCTCTGCAAACATAATGGTTTAAATAAGGTACTGTACATTGAAGCCTGAGAAGTGCCGCACGAGTTGAAAACATAAACCTGATTTAAGGACAATTCTAGGGGGGTTTTCCGCAGAAGATCCGACCCAACTAGAAAAACATCTGTTCATAATATTCTGGCAGCAAATTCGTTCAAGGAAGTTTAAAGCATACCCTGGCTTATTCAAGAAGAACAATTATCATAGTTACATAATCATACGGGCCACGCTTTCTTCTCAAAACGTGTGCAAAACGCGGGTGTCGCATTATAAACTAAAAATATAGGCCACACAAAACGACCGTCCCAGTATATATGCATATGGGGCATAATAATATTCGTCATAAATTTGAATTTCTGCTTCAACCGTTACGTCAAATCCTCATCATTGTGTTCTTATCAAGATCTTTCAAGATTTACTATCGTTCTCGCCATTTTCAGGTTTTGAATTTAAAACCAGTTTTACTTTTCACTTCATGATGAATATACAGTACTTCTTTATTCCTGTCAATAACAAGTAGCAGTTCAAGATGAGAGAGCGACCTAAATTCCCGGGATCATCCATAATCACAAAAATACAGTGAGGTATATCCCGTATAACTTCAATGATTTTCTTTGAACTTGCAGATCTCCCAATAAATTTACTGTATAATCGAAACTGAAGGAAGCACCAAATGCTGTAGACATCGAAGGACTGTTTCGTGAAAAGCGAAAGATCGGACAAAAAGGTGAATAAACGCAAAACTCAGATCACTCTGTCAGCACACTGAACACTCGGAGATCAGCTTGTTCCGGAACACACTTTTCTGCCTCCTAAACCAATTATTTCCCACACAGAATACGTAATTGGCCACCAAAAAAAAAAAGCACAACCAAGAATCGTGCCAAATGCCTGAAAGTGGTTCATGAACAAAATTTATCAGGATTCCCTCGTTGGAAAAATATCGCTCACTTTTTAAAGCAGGTTACAGAATCTTTTACGAAAAAGCGATCGGGACCTACCAAAAAAAAAAAAAAAGGAGATTCAAAAACGAGAATGAAGAATCTGACGATGCTAGTATTTGAAATCGACTAAATTCCTATAGCAGAATGGCACTTTGTTTTTCCATCAATTGCACTTGAACTGAAACAGGCGAGAACACGTCATTCGAAACCGATCGAGATGAATACATGCTCAAATTTTCACATTTCCTCCGGAAGTTTCATCAGCAAACACACGCATATCAAAAAACGCGGTAACTCGGAAATTTAGTCGTCCATCATTCTCAACCATCTCAGGACGCTTCGAATGCGAAGAAAACAACCCAAAAATCAACCGTCAAAAACTTTTTCTTCGACAACGCGCCAAATCGTTTTTTGTGCAGCTCGATGAGCACCTCAGCAATACTTTTCGTTTCAACCAATGTTGAGCGTTTCGATGTTGTGCTGTAAAATCGTGTCCTTGACAGCAGCAAAGATGAAACTCATGTTTTCAGTATCTGCAACACAAAATTCGTAAATTAGCACCAAAAATAATACGAAATCGACCTGCAACAGTGAACAAAAGTAAGCTGCTCAATGTACTGAAGTGATTCATCGGTACAAATTATTTCAGCAAACTTTGAATATTACTCTGTGACGCGTGATTCAAAATTTTTCCGGAAACTCAAGAACACTTGCTAAATCAAAAAGTCGCGACGAAGAAACAAAAATTTCAAACCTTATTAAAAGAATCAAAATATCATTCACATCCGCCCTCAAACGACGTTGTCGATTCTACACTGCATCGAAGGAAAGTTAGCAATAAAAAAAAGGTTCATTCTAGAAAGCCAAAGATCTTTGCTCGGGCGTCCTTTGACGGAAAAGCATTCGGCCGTACCGCATTGGCACGATATAATATACCTTATTCGCCATTAGTGAAAAAAAAGGAGATGAATGTCGAATGCAACGACCTCGAAATTACTCCTCCCTCAAGACATTATTCCCAGCCGGAAACGAGCTTCCGAATCTCTCAACAATAGGAAGCAAATGCGCCGAAGGCAAACACCGGAAAATACAAGAGATACCGATTTTTTTTCGACGAAACAAAGGAAACTGTCAAAACAGATTCTTTATAAAGTTTATAGAGAACAAAATTCCAACGAAATTTCCGATTTTTTTTTCATGATCAACGAACAATTACAAATACGAGAACTGAGAATTCCAGCAAAACACAAAAGGAATTCAGCTCTTTGATTTATCCAACTTTTTAGAAGCTATTTTCAAAGAAAAAATATAATTACTCTGGTATTTTTCTGAATTGCGTTTCTCGAATACATACAATTCCTTTTCAGGCGGTAATTAACAAAACGAGTCAATTCAACCTTTTCATCAATCATTCTCATGGAATGATCAATTTATTCTCTTCAATTTAACACCAGGGATTTTACAAGATTTTATGGTTCTTTCTATGGGAATACATCTACAGTATTTTTTTACTACCGTAACTTTTTTTTTGGCAGAGCATACTTCTGAGATCTTGAAGGATATACTGTATTTACAGTTGGACCTCCCTGAGTAAAATTCAAGAGATTTCCAAAAAATGTGAAAAGAAGTTTTTTTAGTCAAGAAATATAGACTGATTCATGCAAGTTAATCCATTAACATTATTTTCGCCGTGGTTATTCAAAGAGTTCATCGATCTCGCAGAAGCCCTAACTTACAGGAAACTCCCAAATCCCTCGCCGCAAGGCATCAAAATACTGTACTGCATAAATTTTCATACATACTACATTAGGTTTAAAACAATTTAGCCTGAGTTTATCAGGATAATGGAGGTTTGAACTGCATGCACATATTTTTACTCGAAAGCTAACCGCCCAAGAAATATATAAATTCATATTTTTCTAAAATGACTCAAGAAAATTTTATTTTTTCAAAATTTCAGCGAAGTTACACAAACCTGTTGCACAAGTAAAATGCGTGTAAATGGACTTCTTCGACTTGGGGTACGGATTGAGATCCTCAAACATTTTGGCAACGAAGTTACGGGACTCTTCGTAGCCGCCTTCCGGGCCGGGGTACTCCGGAAAATAATCCCGCAGGGACGAATAAGTTATTTTCTCCTTGAAAATGTCCGTCTTGTTCATAAACAGAATCATCGACGCGTTGTAAAACGTCGGTTCCATCAGGATGGTCAAGAATAACGCTTTGCTCTCCTCCATCCGGTTCTGCGAAGCAAAACCGAGAAACTTAGAACACACGATAAAATGAAATTTATAATTACTTGGACGCCATGAAAATGATCCGGAAAAATGTAAGATTTTTATAAATTCATATTTAAGCATCCTTGACAATCGCTGTTGAAATTTTGCTTCAAACAAATAGAAAAAGAAAGAGTGCAGCAAAAACTGCATTCAAAAACGGAAGAAACAAAGGCTGTTCACTTTAAAATGTCCAGTCAGCACAAAAATAATCAAATTTTGTGCTAGTGATTTTAAATTGAAATATTCTCATATGAGCAAGAAGTTATTCAAGTCACGGCTGCAACAGAGGAGAAGGTTTCTACAATCTCTTCAACTATTAGTTTCAAGGATTCTGAAACAGAAACTTGCACACACTAAAAACTTCATTGCAAGAAATTTTATAGGTAGTCAGCGTTCGGTATAATAACACCGTAGCTCGCGAAATTTTTTATACAAATATTTTGCAAGAAAAATTTTCCAGAGACTCAGTTTCACTGATTTTTAGTTCGAAAGAATAAACTCACAGTTCCGTCCTTCGCTTCGGCCAGAACTTGATCATATTCGGACAATGCAACCAAGAACAGAATTGAGCAAACGTTGTCGAAACAGTGGATCCACTTGCTGCGCTCTCCTCGCTGACCACCGACGTCCACCATTCTAAAATGCCGAAAAATTTGATACATTAAATTAATCACCGAAAACGAGCACCTCAAGTCATGAGTGAAATCTTTCATCAAAATTTCCACATACAGGTGATACCTCGCAATTCAACCTCCCACAATTTGCAGGAAAGTTGACTTGCAATTCACCTTCTGCCCCGCAATTCGACCAGCATTTTCCATTTTTTCCCCCGCGTTTTTGTACTTGTATTTTGAATTTGACAGAGTGTCAATTTGACCATAGTTTGGCAACAGATTAGGTTCAAATTGCGAGGTATCACCTGTATTGCTTTCAAATGCAACTCATATATACCTACGTTAACACCTTACAGCTCTGATCCCTAAAAAAAAATTACCAGAGTCCGACTTCAAAAATACTGTCCCCAACAAGTAAAACCTAACAATACAAAAATAATTTTAAACTTTTAAACTTCAAATTTTATGTTTTCCGAAATTTAACAAAGACAAGTGTTTGAGAAGGTCTCCGAAAATCAATATTCTGCATTCTTCAGAAAAGACACAATTTGAACTCATTCTCAGCGGTCAGTATTAACGCCAGAAAAAAAAACCGCATTACTGTATTATTCAGTGATGGTCTGATGGATACTATTTTTTGCGTCTCCACATGTCGCTACTCTTTTGAAACCTGTTGAAATATATTGTTACCTTTCTCAATGATTGATATTTTTCTCGACAACATTGTTTACGGGATTGAAATTAAACCATGAAACACACACTGTCTTTTCTCTTCTTTGATTGAAGGATTCCTCAAAGGTCATCAGAAACATTTCACAAAAAACGTAAATTTTTCTACACGACGGACACGAGTCGAAAATAACCGGAAGAGAGAGTTCCACATCCACGAAAAAGCTTCGTGTACGGATTTACATTCCGCCTGTTTTTTTTTTTCGCAATGCTTCGAAAAATACCTGAAGCGAATTTTGTCAATGTCGAAGACGTATTCGACGATTCCCGTCGTAGGCACTCTCACTCGCAGGATGTCTTGCTCGGACGGCAAGTAATCCACATCAGATATTCTCGTCATTTCCGAAAGGTAACTACAAGAAAATCAAGAATATACAGACATAAAATCCAGTACAAATATCACAAAAAAAGGTTTGCAGACGAATGATAATGACTCATTTAAAACAGAAAAAAAAATTGCCTTAAAATGCCTATAAACGAGTGAAAGTGCAGTAATTTGGTGTACATGAAATACCCACTAATGAGCCGAATCCGGAAGATGAAAATCCCGACGGCGATCACTGACACACTGCTGAATCCCGGCGTCGGCCCAGAGTGCCCTCAAGGCTTCAACCAATTCGGCGTCCAACGCCAACAAATTTGAGCAATCCACAGATTTCACCAACCTCACGTAGTCCTGCAAATATTTGAAACAAGGCATGATAAGTGACACAAGATACATTTCTACACCCCTATTTTCGATTTACTATTTTCCCCCTAAAAACATTCTCCTCGTACACTTATAAAGCTTGACCAATTTTAAGAAGTGCAAAAACAGCGCGGTTCGGACATTCAATTTCCCATGGAAAAATGGTTGCTCTCGCACACAGCGAGAAATAGAATAATAATATAATATATTTGAAGATAATTTCACCGGGAAATTTAAAAAATCTTCTTGAAAAATTACAATAAAAAAGTTTGAGTAAGTGTGCGGTATTCGCAAACAAAAATAAGCTGAAGAATGTCGAACAAACGCAAAATTCGGCAGTATAGAATGAAGCAAAATTCCGTAAATGATAACTGCAATGATCATGAGTGAATTTTTGGATCGAGCGAAATATTTAAAAATTAATACAGTATTCATCAATTTCCACGTTAAATGGGCGGAAAAACTTTGAAATAAAATTATAATTTGATAAATTATCCTCAGAATTTACCCGAGAAAACGGAGGAAAACGACCAGGGATTTTAACTCATTTCGTCGTATGGACTCACTTCACTTTTAGCACCAGAATACGGAATGTTGCAAAATGTCGCAGCTTCAATGAGACACTTCATAGCTGCAATGAGATTCCGGTAAACAAGCCGTGAGAATTTCCGCTTCTCCTCCTTCGAAAAACCGTCTCCGTGAATAATCCGCATTTGCTTGATGAACGTTGACTTGCCAGACTCTCCAGTGCCTGGAGAATAATTAAAACGCATTCATTATTCAACTCTCACAAAACACAAAAGACTACATAAATAACCGGTTTCTGTAGATTTTTTCGGGGTTTATCGATCAAACACCTGTTAATCTTTTGAAAATGTAAAATATATTTCGAAAAAAAAATTCTCATCGCAATCTTAATCGTCTCCGCGATGTTCAGAAATATTCATCAAATTTGACGTGCGCGTCAAAACTAGAACGGAAAAAATGATACATTTTTCAATTTTTAGTGCCGTTTTCACCCAAATGAATACCGAATTTTGGACTTCTTTCAGCTCCTAAAGATGCCAAAAATCACGAAAGGCCAGCTCAAAGTAACAAAAATACCGATAGACTCTTTCACAAAGAAATTTAGGGGACCAGAAAAACATTTGTTTGTAGACGACCTCTAAGTAAAAAGGGTCAAGACACCGACAAAAAAAAATTGAAAACAGTGAAAATCGTTGTAGAGAGAGTCTATATGTGAAAATATTTATTTAAGAATCCATAACCGAAGTAAAAATGAATTTAGACATCCTAGCTAAGCCAAACTCAGTTTACGCTAATTTTCAAGACATAGAAGATACATTTTTCCATACAAAATTGTACAATCAAAAATTTTCTGACCAAAAAACGAAAACCTTTGCCCTCCACCCCTGAAAAAAGGATAAATAAATTCTCAACATCCAAACATTTTGGCCGTCAGATTTTGGACAGGGTACTTTTGAAGCATACAGTATTTTGAATGTCATCAGTAACTTATTTCACTAATTGGACCGAACACGAAATTTACAAACAGATAAAAATAAAAAATGAACAAATAATGGGATTCCCTTTTAGATTTCGTTTTTCATTTTTGAAATGAAAGAATTTAAACGGATTTCACGAAATGTCTATACGCAGTACACGGAATTCCTGCGTGAAAATCGTGTCGAATCCCAGTAAAAAAACAATAACTGAAATACAAAAGAAAAAAGAAACGAAAAATGTTTGCAAAACTTCTCACAAATTCATAATCATGCCAAGGAAAAAAAAGGAGTGCAAAATGACAAAACAAAACCTTTCTCTTCCTCTTTTCCATCGACATACCGAGAAGCAGAAGCTTGAGTTCGCGTTTGGACTCTCGCTTGGAACGTCGCAATTCCTTTTCAATCTCCTGGCTGACGCGTTGTGCGATCTTCTTCTCCTCAGACAGACAACACGTGAGCATTACATACCGAGAAGCAGAAGCTTGAGTTCGCGTTTGGACTCTCGCTTGGAACGTCGCAATTCCTTTTCAATCTCCTGGCTGACGCGTTGTGCGATCTTCTTCTCCTCAGACAGACAACACGTGAGCATATTTGCGACTGCCATTTTTTTTGTGCGCGACTTTTTTTTTTTTTTTTTGGGCGAAAAAGTTTCGCTTGCACTCACGACGACGACGGCAACAACGACGAAGACGACGACGACACAGTCAACGCATCGTCTTCACGACACACACTTTTCCTCTTCGTCGACCACCAGTTACAAAGAAAAACAAACATGTTTGTACCTGATGAGGAATTGGAATAGAACGAATTAGTCGCAAATTACAGTAATTAAGAAAACCTAATGACATTTTTTTTTTCGAATTACGCCGAACTTCAGGAAAGCCTTTTCAAAGGCAATCTGAACAGGAAAGCTTTCATGATAACTTGTAACACGATCATCTCGAGGCTTTTCATGGAATATAAAGATGAAATTGAAGAAGTTTCGTAAATGCGATGTCGGCAGGAATGCTTTCATGATGACTCAAATTTAACAATCTTGAGGATCGCAGTTTTCGATCGAATTCTCTGAATATAAAAAACGACGCACGATAAAAAATTCATCATGCTTTTTCTGCAAAAAAAAAATAAAAATTTGTTTTTCGCCTTGCTGTAGAAAAATCATGCCTCAAATAACTCTTAAAAGTTGAAAGCCGGGATATAAAAGCCAGAACATCAACCAATGAACAAAATGAAATCCATGAACAACGAAATCCATCATGAGAACAACCACCACAAACAAATCAATGAGCATAAAACCGACATAAATTCTGAAAATGTTCGCAAATATTTTGTTGGTGAATTTTCAAAAGAAGTTCTCGAACTTCCAAAATAATAATTTCTGTATATTCTCATCAATCTAACAAATTGCACCAAAGATTATTACAGCAACAAAAACATATTACAGTAGAATGTTGTTGTAACAAATAATCGCTTACAACGAAGTTCTGCACAATAGCCATTATATTAAAAGAATTCCTTCACAGCGAGTTTTTCGTTACAACGAAATTATTTCACTGGTCCCAACGGCTTCGTTGTAACAATATTTTACTAGGAAATTAACGGCACGGATTATTGAAATAACTTCGTTGTAACGAAAAACTCGCTATAAAGGAACTCATTTTAGCATAATGGCTATTGTGCAGAACTTATTCGTTGTAAGCAATCATTCCTTACAACGAGATTCAACTGTAATATTTTTTTCTCTCGCTGAAATAATCTTTGGTGCAATTTGTTTGATTAATAGTAAAATCTCGTAAAAACGAAGTTATTTCACTGGTCCCACCGGCTTCGTTGTAACGAGATTTTACTATTAATGATAGGGAAATAAAAATTCTTCAATACAGTACACAAGAATTAATAATCCGAAGTATTGTAGTTCACGAGTCAACGGAGAATAATATATACTGTACTCGAATTATTCCTCAAAACTTCTACAGGGTGAACCCAAAAGAAAAAAAAAGTACACCATGAAACTGAAACAAAAATCAAGAGGTGATAACATTTCCGTATCACGTTGCAAAAAAAAGTCACACGCAATTTCTTCCAATGCTCTTCCAAAAAAATTAGCTTGAGAACCTCTGCCTCAAGCAATGATCATCAGCGTGCCAGGGGCCTGATGAGGGGGGTTACAGCAGCAGCAGCAGCCCAGCCCAGTCATACTGCAACCCCCGCAAAAAGCTGGCAGACAGCCAGTACATCAACCCCCACGCTCTGAAATAAGCCCAACACGGCGGAAACAGAGTTGGCTAAACGGTCTCCGATAATTTTTATATACGTCGTGTGCTTATAACGAAAGAATCCGCTGCTGCTCGCAATAAGAGAAGCCCTGCATTTGGGCACAGGCAATCTCAGACTTGTATGCGTCAACCTCCAAAAGACCTTATGAGGAGGGAAAAAGAAAACGGAAATGCCTCAACTGCCAAAATACTATATAACCAAACGACAGAAAATATTTTTCTAAGGCATTTCCTGTGTTGGGAATTTTAAGTTTTGAAATCTAGGATTTTTTGGAGTTTTGAACCTTCTTACTTGAGAGAAAATGAAGAAGACAATAATCAGCCGGGCTGCTTGACACCCTAGCGTAAGGTTGGTATATTCAGAACAGGATAAAAAAACACAAGTTGATTTCAACAATAACTCAGACGTCTTTTGCGTGAGACTGCCAAAAAGCAACTGATGAAAATGAATACAATAGCAAATTCCGCATTTAAACCCTTTTTCCTCGCGAAATTCTGCCCTTGAAAGCTGATTTGTCTCAGGAAATCCCAAAGATGCAGGAACCCTTGTGGGAACTTGAGGTCAAACTTGGTCTCACAGAATTCCGACCGAATTATTCATTTCTCAACTGTTTCTTTCTTTGAGCTAATCTACCTCATTAACAGTTATTAAATCTAATTTACAACATCCTGGTCGCAAAAAGGAATCGAATTTTGAAGCAGAAAAAGCATATGCAGGCCAGAAATATATTTGCATCAACCGATGGAAGCCTGATCAAGAGAAACAAGGAAATATCGTGATTGCCAAAAAAACGAAAAAAACGGAAATCAGCACACCGTATTTGAACACTTATCTAGGTCGCAAGAGAAATACGAGCAGCAATTTTGAAAAGCGAAAAACTACAAAGATAGCAAATGACTCTTGACTAAATCCCGAGAATTTCTCCATGCACAGGATCGTAGATGATTTCGAAGGAAAAAATTCGAAATATTCCCCCAGAATTGATGACAACACTTTTGGAATTTTGCCCACACAGGATCCACGAAATGTTTCAAAAATAAACGTTGAATTCTAATGTAAATTCTAATGAAACGCATTCGTCCCAAAAATTTACATTAAAGTCGTCACAAAATTTCAAGAAAATGTGCACTTTAAATCCAGTGGCGTGAAACAGAGTACAGTACTGTACATGCACCAGCAGACAGTATTACCGAAATTTTCCGAAAAAATATTTCAAAATAATCGCTTTGATCATGAGTACATGGATCATAAATTGCATCAGGATCCGAACAATTTTTGCAGCAAATGCTGCGCTTATTTATGGAGAAGCACGTTTTTTCTTTCGTATGTGAGCAACAATTTTTCCCTCGAAAGATGGCCACGTAAAAAAAGTACCAACAAAATAAAGCGGCAAAATCGTTCTTTTCATTCAAAAGAAAAATTAATTACCGAACAAATTTTAAAGTTGAAAATCTATACACGGCGCAAAGATATTTTGATTACATTTCGATGAATTTCTTCCTGTATAAATGTATATAAAAGATGGGCGAAGTTCGATTCATTCCATGAGAATTTATAGCATCATTTGGGAAATCTCGTTCATAAAACCATAAACAAAACAACATCTTCAATTTTGAAGATAATTTTAGCGGTAAATGCCGCACATATTTATGAAGAAAAACGATTACAACAATTGTTAGCTCGAAAGAATTACAGAACAATACATCCAGATACAATTTTTTCCAGGTGAAAAAAAATACCAGCAAAATAACGCGAAAATTCTCTTGAAAACCAATGAATTGCAGAGCAATCGCAGTATTTTTTTAAATTAATTGAAAATAATATTTTCAATATTCTCAGAATTATCCACGCCACTGAGGGATCAAGGGTGTGAACTCAAGAGAGGGGTTCAAAAGTTGGTACAGTACCGTAAAAGAGAGCTTATGCTTATCTAGCCATTAAATTGAAAGGGACTTGGAATATTTTTGATAAGACGTGACACGGACATGACTGAAATCCTCACGACAAATATTAGCTTAAAAAAAATCCTGCTTAACGTTTCAAGTTATCTGTGTGCGTCAAGCAAAGTTCAAACGGTTAAGTCATTAGAATGAGTTGTAGAAGACTTGCCTTTCCCGCTTCCCCCACCTTTGACAAATACTTGATAATCTCTTCAAGACATTTAAACTTTTTTTCTTTTTTTGAATCCGAAACTCTTCCGAGGGTTTTCCGGTAACTTTCCAACTTATGTTTCCTGAAAATCTAAATAAATACAGTGCAGTGTAGGGGAAACTCTTAAATGTTCTCTTAAAGATTATTCAATCTGGCAATTCTTTTTTAACCTCTTTATGACCCTAAAAGGAAAAAGACAGATTTTCCTAGAACTGAGAATGCATCCTATTTGTTACAACAGAAAAAAATCTATACCATAATTCCAGTTGATGCACAGCAATTAATATTCCTTAAAAAATCATATTTTACGTACTTCTGGCAATTCATTCCCGAATTTTCTCACCCAATGGATGATTAAAAACGAATTATCATGAAAACGCAAAAAAGTCAGCTCAAGTAAATTATAGTAGTCAAACCTCAATTTAGTACGTCGCGATTTAATGGCAAAAATTTCCCTGGAACAAATCTTTCCTCCAATTTTGTTCTCAAGAAAACCCGCAATTTAGTGCCAACTCACTTAATGGCAAAAAATTCCTATCCTTAATGATAAATAAGCCAAAATCAGAAATTAAGGCATATACAGTACCTAGGGATATAATCAGGTTATTACTGAGAATCACATGCCAGTGCTCAGGATAAATAAACATTTATATTTTTGAATTTACACACAATTAGGGTGGCTCAGTGAGAATGTCTTCTACAATGAAGAGCATCTAAAAACAGGGATAGTCTCTTTAACAATTAAAAAAAGCACTAAACCTGAGCTGGAAAGTGTGTGATTTTATTGAAAGGTTGATACAAAACTGCAAGAAACAGTTCCACTCTTATACTTGGCCCAATACGCAAAAAAGCTAATGTATTCTGCACTATAAATTTAAAAAGTTCAATAAAAACATTCACTTCAGCCTCAAATTATTTTGTGTTGCTCTCTCACAACCTCACCCGAATATTTTTCAAAGAATAAGCTTGTCAAAAAAAGAAAACTTTAAAATTGTCATGCATTTGGTCTGCCAAAAAAATGAACAAATCTAAATAAAGTATTCGTACATAACGATGAACACGTTTCAATAAAATCCCGAAGGACACGCTACTTCATGAATCAATTGTGAAGTCGATATACAGTAATAAAATTTAGTAGATTAAAAAATTAATCTAAAAAACCACATTTTCAAAAAA